GGGGGGACACTGCAGGGGAGGCTGAGGGAACAGGGTCAGGGATGGGGGCTGAGGGCAATGGGTCGGGTGAGATGATCAGGGGGGAGGGGAGGGACTGTGGGGGAGGCAGAGGGAACAGGGTCAAGGGGGCTGAGGGCAGTAGATTGAGGGTGAGGGCACAGGGGGGACTGCGGAAGAGGCTGACGGAACAGGGTCAGGGTGGGGGCTGAGGGGAGCCCCCTCAGAGGGACCTGCCAGGGGGCCAGGTGAGCCCAGCAGTGCTTACCTGGAGTGGCTCCCAGGAAGCATCCAGCAGGCAGGTCCCTCCCAGTCCCTCTGGCTCCTTCCCACAGTTGGGTCGGGTCTTGGGGGGGCAGGGGCGGGGCAGGGGTCTCTCTGCCCAAGTCTACAGGCCACGCCCCGCTGCAGCACGCAGGGGAGCGAGACCTCCTCATTGCCTCTCTGTGTACCGGGGCAGGGGCAGGGCTGCGCTCTGCAGGCTCCTGCCGGTGTATCCTGCTGGGTGGCGGGCCCGCGCGGGGAGCTCTCAGCTGCACACTGCCCCAGGGCCCAGGGAGGAAAGGTGAGTGGCGCCGGCTTGCCACGGTTCCCCCAGCGCGGCTGCCCTGTCAGCGCTTTTGGGTCTTTAAATAGCCATCCGGGGGGAAATCCTGGACATCTTTAGCTTTTTACAAACTCCCCCCGGACGGCTATTTAAAGACTCGAAACCCGGACATATGGTAACCCTAGTCTGTTCCTCACAAGTCCCTGGCCGCCCTCTCAGGCCCTGGCTGTGTTGCAGGGATGCTGCGGGTCGGACACTTGTTCTGGCAGTGGCCACAAACCCTCAGGGGTTAAGTGGCAGAAACCTTCTTCCCAGCATCGTCTCTGCCCGTCAGGGTTACGATCCCCCTCCAAGTCTGGCCTGCAGAGCCTCTTGGCTGGGGGCATCTCCCTGCACTGGGCCCACTGCCCTGGGTCCCCCTCACTCTCCCCAGCTTCTCATTGCACCCAGCTCCGGACTGCTCCAGCCTCAGCTCCAGCTCCACTCGGCCTCAGCGCTGCTGCTGCTCTGCCTCCAGCTCCCTGCGCTGCTCCTCTGGCTCTGGTTGCTACAGCTCTGCTCCCAGCACAGGTCTGCTCTGTGGGCTGCTTCGGTGGCTCTGCTCCCAGCACTGACCTGCTTCTTGGGCTGCTTTTCTGGCCCCTCTGGCTGGCCTGGCTCTGCTCCCCAGCTCAGCTTAGCCCCATCCTTTCTGCTGAGCTCGGCCCCACTCTGTCTGACCCAGGCAATTCCAGCTCACACGGAGGACGGGACCCCCTGGCCTCCTGAATCCCTGATTAGCCTGCCCGCCCTGTCAGTCAGGCTGACCAGAAGCATGGGCCTCTCCCCATTGTTCCTGGGGACTGTCAGTCTCAGGGTCCTGATTTCCCATCGACCCTTCCCCTTTCCTTTGGTACTGGGAGCTAGCCCAACAGAACACCCCCACTGAGTTTTAGTAAGGGGACAACAATCTCCTTACACAGAGGAAAAATCTGACAAATCTTTGCCGATGAGCTGAAGGAACCAGGAGAGGGGGCCCTAGCAGGGTTTCCGGGTTAGGACTCTGGCATCGAAAGCTCTTGTGTAGCTGTTTGAGGGTGTGTTAATTTTGCTTGTAAACTTTGTCCTCCGCCAGCATCAGCAGCAAGTGGATGGGCAGGGCTGTGCCTGCTGTTATCAGGTTTCCCTCTACCCCAGTCACTCCTCCCTCTTACAGCTGTAGGGGTGCACCTGGCCAAGGAAGATGCCGCTGCAGGCTGTCCCTGGGTTAATGTGGCTCTGGCAGAACATGCCCTTTCAGACACTGGCCGTGTTCTTAGGCCTGTTCCTGCTGATTGCTGATTGCATGAAGAGGAGACAGCCGAAGAATTTCCCTCCAGGACCTTTGCCCCTGCCGTTCCTGGGCCACCTGCTCCATGTGGATTTCAAACAGCCCCATAGGGCTTTAGAGAAGGTAAGTGTGGTCAGGGGCAAGTAAAGGAGTTCTGTTTGCAAGAGCTTTTTTTACCAGGGAGTAGTGGGTGAGAGAGATGCTGGATCAGACCCTCAGCTGCGCCTGAAGAATGTATGGCACAGCTCTTGATGGCACCACCTCTGCACTGCCATGACCTTGGGGTTGTCCTGGTGCTGCTCTGGCCCCTGACATAAATTAGAGCCAGCTCTACACTCATTTTTGTCCCCATTTATATGCTTCATCCACCTGTTATATCCATTTGTGAGCTCTTTTGGGCCCTTGACTGCTATTGTAGTACAAATAATGAATAATAATAATTGTAAAAAAAGTAAGAAGTCATCACATAGGCTTCAGTTCTGGTTAGCAAACCAATTAAATATGAACTAAACCACAGGCTCTTTTTTTCCAGCTTTCTGGAAAATATGGCAACATTTTCAACATGCAGTTTGGTAGCCAGACAGCTGTGATTGTAAATGGATTCCAGCTGGTGAAGGAAGTGCTTGTCCATCAGGGTGAATACTTTCTTGGTCGCCCACAAATTCCTCTTATCTACGAGATCTTTGGTACATTTGGTGAGTTTCTTTTCCTATCTTTTTCTTTAAATATTTTCAAGGTAACATTTTTAATAATCAACGCACAGATCCTCCAAACTCTTACAAATGGACTTCACTTTATGCACATGAACAGTCTCATTGACGTCTGCTCTGGGGTAGTAAGATAGGCCCAGAGCCTCAAAGGTGTTTAGGTGCCTAACTTCTAGTAAAGTCAATGGGAGTTTGGCACCTAAATACCCTTGAGGGTCTGGGCCTTAGTAACTTCCTCAATTCTGCAAATACTTACACATGTGCTCATGTCTCATTGACTTCTCATGTTCACATCCCAACTGCCATATCCCTGGTGACAGCAGCAGCAGAGTCTCATGGCTACCATGTAGTTGTGATGGCCTGTAGAATGGACTTTCATCCTGGATGGTCCCTTGCAAGTTTTCCTTCAGCAAGAATCAGTATGGGAGGATTTAGATTTTTGAAATCCCTCAAAATAGCATCTTCCAACCTTATTTGTGGTCGGCATTGTGGCCTACTTCCTTCAACCTTAGCTGTATACACTTTCTGTAAAAGTGTACCTTCTGCATGTTGGACATGACTCCACCATTGCTAGAGCCCAGGAATTCTGATATAATAGTGAAGAAGAAAATATCCTGTGGAAAGATAGCCAGGCCTCGCTTAAACTTGAAGAAGGAAAGGAGTATTAAAGTTTTCTAATCTTCTAATGACCATTACAATATACCAGATGTCATTTTTCACCATCCCCCCGCTCTCCCCCCAGGATTAGTCACCTCTAATGGACATAGCTGGAAACAACAAAGAAGATTTGCTTTATCAACTCTAAGAAACTTTGGCCTGGGGAAGAGGAGCTTAGAAGAACGAATACAGGAGGAGAGCAGATACCTCACAGATGCAATTGAGGAAGAAAAAGGTTAGAACTAGAGATAATGTCACTTTAATTGTTCTATCAAAAATTGTGGCTCTTGTTTGGCAATGAACGTGAAATAACAAAGATGTGCCTGAAACATGATGTTTGAATCCAGATCTTTCCTAATGCTCAGTTCAGATGAGGGATTTGGCTTAACCCATTAGACGTATATGCACCTTGATGCCATAGTTCAGATCTGGATGCAGATCCAAAAATTTGCTGGTGTTTGGGATTCATGTTTTATCATCGGTAAGTAATGGCACTAAATGCTGAGTTGTCAGCCTCCATGTAGCCACACAAATTTACAAAACAGTCCCACAAAAGCGTTCGTTGCCAAGATTAATGACCATGGAGAGAAAGTGGTTCCAAATCACATATATATAAAACCTCCCTACACTATAACAAAGGGAGAGACCCGTGTAAAAAAATATAAATGTCTCTATACATAGCAAAAACTGACTTGAACTGGTAGTTTGATATGCTGCATGCATCAAAATGCAGCTCATCCCATCTATGTGTTTAACAGTTTTTCAAGGGATATGTATGAGTGTGTGCGGGGGTGTGTGATATAGTTGTATGTTCAGGTTTTATTCATGGTTTTCATACACATCAAATAGTATTCACCCACGAAAGCTTATGCTCCAATACATCTGTTAGTCTATAAGGTGCCACAGGACTCTTTGTTGCTTTTTACAGATCCAGACTAACGCGGCTACCCCTCTGATATCAAATAGTTTGTCTGTCAACAACTTTCTTCCGCTTTTCTAAGAAACCAGAAGAACACCGATTTCTCCCCTTTTCTTTTCCAGGGCAACCTTTCGACCCTCACTTTAAAATTAATAATGCTGTTTCCAACATAATCTGTTCCATCACTTTTGGGGACCGGTTTGACTACCATGATGGTCACTTCCAGAAGTTACTGCAGTTGATTGATGAGACTTTTTACCTCCAGGGAACTATTTGGAGCCAGGTAGAGCTTGTTTGATTTTGACTTTAAACATATGAAACCAATGGCAAAACCCCGAGCAGTTTCACTGGATGCAGGACTGAGTGTGACAGTGTTGTTCCAGATTCACTTCTATTATAGCCTGAGTGGGGCATCCATGCTCTCATTTTCCCCAACAAATATCTCTCTGCCTCAGTTCCCCCTCTGGCTAGTATATTTCACCTGGCCCCCATGAAGGTATCCTACTGATTTTGCCCCAGATCCCTAAGTGGCCCCCTCAAGGATTGAACTCACCAGCCTGGGTTTAGCAGGCCAATGCTCAAACCACTGAGCTATCCCTCCCCCCTGATGATAATCCTGATACTGCAGGAGCGGTCATGTTGAGAGGCAAAACACAGTGCCTGCGTCTATCTGCTCATGGGGCTGGGACCAGGCAGTCTCCATGTGTTTTACAAACCCTCCAATACCAAAGTCTAATCTCCGGTAAAAACTGCGGTAATATCAGTATTATCAACATGTGTTGGAATGTGAGGCCAGATTCTGACCTTGTGACCTTTATATCCTTCTTCACTTGTAAAGCAGCGAATCGTTCCCAGGGTGGCCATTCAGCCGTCTGAAGTGGCTACTAACACACTGCCTCAGGCAATACAGCAGATTTTCCTGTAGGGGGCAATAGGATCAGTAGCTGGTGGCCAGCCCAGCAGTCACAGCAGAGGGCTGAGAGAAGACAGTGCCTATCTTAACCAGAAAGAATGGGTTTGTGGTAAAAACGCTGAACTGGGACTCAGGACACCTAGCTTCACTTTCTGGCTCTGTAACAGATGCCTGTGCGGTCTTGGCCAAGTCACTTAATCTCTCTCTGCCTCAGTTCTCACTCTGTAAAATGGCGATAATATTTCCTTTCTCGCACCCTTTGTCTCTCCTGTCTCTTTAGATTCTAGGCTCCTCCGGTCAGGGACTCACTGTTATGTATCCGTCATGTGCCTACCACACTTGGGTCCTGATCTTAGTTGAGGGCTCTGAGCATAAACGCCGTGTCTTCAGCAGAATGCATGTGGGCGTATTAAACCGCAAGATGCCTTTTTCTAAAACTAGGCTAAAACATATTGTGTTCTGTTTGTATGTCAAAAGCTGTATCACGGCTTCCCCACCATAATGAAGTGGATACCTGGACCCCATCACACCATTTTTAAAAACTGGGAAAAACTGAAGAGTTTTGTGAAGGAAATGATTGCAAAGCACAAAGAGGACTGGAATCCATCTGAACCCAGAGACTTCATTGACTGTTATCTGAAGGAAATAGCAAAGGTAAGAGAGCAAAGAACAAAGTGAACAGGAACAAACCATGTTTTTGTTTTAAAAATTAGAAGTAGAATGACAGTAACAGGGCTCACCAGTTGAGTTGTCTGAGCATCTGACCCTCCATTAGTTAACAGTTAGAAACCCCAGGTAGGATGGAACTGATTCAGCAAAGCTTTTAAGCACAGGTTTTCCTTTAAGCAGGGAAGAGCAGGCTCGCTGATGGGACTATATGGATGCTTGAGTGCTTTGCTGAATTGGGGCCTAAAAATGTAAGGTTACCTGTGCTTTAGGGGCCAGACCCAAAGCCAGTTGAAGTGCATGGGAGTCTTTCATTGACTTCAGCAGGCCCTCTGCTCACACCTAAAATCAGCTCCAACTTTTCACTCTCAAGAATGATGCTAAAAAGACAGTCTTTCTCTCTAATGGTGCTGTCCTGGTGCTCTCAACTCTCACCGAAGGCAATGGAAATTCAGGGCACCCAGCACCTTGCAGAATTGAGCCTGGAATGATGTTTCCATGGCTTTGTATAATACTAATAAATATTGTTGTAGTCCAACCCACATATATCTTTGTTCTAAGGCCGATGCCGATCCTAGTTTCCATGACGAAAATCTTATATTTTCCACACTGGATCTTTTTTTTGCTGGAACTGAGACATCGTCTACAACCATCCGCTGGGCTCTGCTGTACATGGCCCTATATCCTGATGTTCAAGGTAAATGGTAATGGTTTATATTTCTAATCTCTTAATAGCTCTTCAATTTCTACCCTTAACCCGTGCCACATCGGGGACTTTTCAGAGAACTCAGAATGTTGATTTATGAAATCTCTGTGCAAAGGTGCTTTCTTCCCACAGTAACCTTTTTTCCCCATTCAGAAACCCTTTCTTTTATTGGAATGGTTTCTTTTTCTTTGCCCTCAGTTACACCTCCACCAACTAGTGCAAGGGCAGGAGTGCAATCCACAGCTGCAATACCCTTGATTAAAGAGGGAGTTGCCCTTGTGGCTAATTAACAGGAGTGGGACTCAGGATATCCAAGTCCTAATCCAGGCTCTGCCTCAGACTTCCTGTGTGACATTGGGCAAACGATTTAATCCCTACGTACCTGTAAAATGTGGCTTGTGGAGTTTTAAAAGTTGGTCCATGGTCAATGTCCTCTTCAGCCTTGAGATGTTACTCATGGAGGCTACAAGGGGGACCTGTGTTGAAAATAATGGCCGATATAATCTCCCTCATTTAATGCAAAATAGGTGCGATCCTTGGCCTCTTCGCAAGCTCCTGGAAGATCCGTGTGCCCCAAAAATGTGAGAGTCTTGCCAGACAGAAAAAAACAGCAGATAAATATTTTCATGCTCAGATATCTCTTGGATCAGACCAGTAAATGACTTTTCTATTTTGAACAGGGACAAAATACGTATTGATAATGCCTTTACATTTGATTTTGAGAAGTGGAGTAAACTCCTCTTGTCTTTGTATTTGTATGTTCAGATCTCTACATTGATCACTGATGCTGTTTCCAATGTTTGAATTGAGCTTTATTAGATATAGCCTTAAAATCAATGAACTCTAAACTCTGCACAATTTAAGCCTTTTGTTTATTCTTGTACCAATGGTGAACTCTGCTCTTTTCATAGAGAGAGTGCAAGCGGAGATTGATGCAGTGATTGGCCTGTCTCGCCAACCAGCCATGGACGACAGGGACAATATGCCATACACCAATGCAGTTATTCATGAAGTGCAAAGGATAAGCAACATCTTGCCTTTAAGTGTGCTCAGAATGGCAACTAGTGACACAACACTGGCTGGATTCTATGTGCCAAAAGTAAGCTGGAAGGAAATGTAGTTTTCACTTCTAATCTTGGTTTAAGAGATTAATAGAGATCAGCCCAAACCAAAGTCCCAGATAGAAACACCTTCACACCCAGGTGGACGGAACTCTGGATCTGAACCTGTTTTGGGAATCAACCCAGATCCGGAGCTGCATTTTACAGGTGGCCCCTATTTCTATATTGGGCTAAAATTCCTTAACCAAAACCTTGGATGCTCACATTCTTTGAGGAAGTTGAAATCTAGATCAGACTTTTGCAGTCTATCTTCATAAAACGAGATGTAAGTTATTTATTTTAATTGCATGAAATCATAGTAAAAGGAGGACTAAGAAGTAGGTCCAGCACAAGTTCACCACTGTGGCTTTTGATTCATGAAGGATCAGCCAGGTTCTTGGACACAGAGACTTAAAGGTATTCAGGCACCTAAGTCTATCGGAAATCAATGGGAGTTATGTGCCTAAATACCTTTGAGGGTCTGGGCCTTTGGTGTCTGCATTTGGGAGCGGCTGCTGCTTTTGACGGGTGGGGCGTATCTCATCTTCAGCAGCTCCAGAATTCTGAACTGCTTTCGTCTCAAGCTGCAGCATTTCTGACTCCACCTAACCGTGCTGCTGAGCCACAATTTCTCCCCATGGAAGGGAGCAGGCTGGAATTCCTACCCCAGCGTTCCCGGAGTATGTTCAGCGGAAGCTCTCCTCAGGTCCTAACACATGGGCGCATTCTTCTTCTCCAGCCTATGGACTGATCCTCAGTGAGATGGGGACAAACCCAGGCTCAAGGCCAGTGAGCTCATTCTGGAGCTCAGGCAGGCAGAGGACCATTTACCAGCAAGTGTGCCGCAGGAGACCATTGCCTGTGGCAACCTTCCATTCTGCTGACAGTAACCCTTCATTAATATAACTTACGGGAAATGTCTGTACACAGTAGCAGGGGGAGAGTGCATTATATCTGCAGATAGCAATTAGGAGTGCAAAAAAGAACTTTAGCGCACATGAGTGTTAGTTTGCAGGAGCACTTGCTGGATTTGCCTAGAGGTATATACTATACACATATACATCATTTGAGGCCAACAACCACCACATCCCTGAAAATCTGGCCCTTAAAAAAAAAGGTGGGTGGATGGGTTGTGCTCCTTTTTGATACTTTATGCTGTATAAAGAATGCCTGGGAGTTTCTATTTTTTCTGCTTGTTTTTTCTATTAGAAATTCAACCTTGCCTACCCTGTTTTTCCTAGGAGATGGAGGAGAACTAGTAGGTGTATAACATCACACCTGTGAAGGAAATTAACCTGTTTAGTTGAGATGGGAAGTGATTTTTAGTCAGACTGGTGTCCATTTTTGGTTTGTTTGTCTGTTGTGATATTAACACCTGTTTAACTCAAATTCTAAAAAATCAGTTGGAAGAAAAACTCTCTTTCTTCAAAGATTAACACCCCGCTCCTTCATCTAAAGTCTGTGATGGCTCCCATTCGTCTCTCTCTGGGACCTCCAGAGACACTACCAGCAAAACCAGGGAAAGCCAGATTTGAAATTCTAGATAAATTTAAGGTAAAGAACTGGCTGGAAAATTGTCCTTTTTGAAAAAAACATCCTTTTGTGCCTTCTTTGTACATCATAAAAGATTAAATTGAAAGGCATGACCCCTTCTTTTTTGCCTCTTTGCGGGTCACAATAAAAAATGGAATCAGGGAAGGTTTAAATTCCTTTCTTTCTCTTTCTTTAGGGCACCGTTTTGATTCCCAATTTGACATCAGTGCTGTTTGACAAGAATGAGTGGGAAACCCCTCATACTTTTAATCCTAAGCATTTCCTTGAGGATGGTCAGTTCAAGAAAAGAGAAAGTTTCCTGCCCTTCTCTGCAGGTGAGATGTGTCTGACTCTGTTCATTCGCACTATAGCACCAAGTCTTGGCCTCTCTCCTTTTTCAGTGTAGAAAAACCCCACAGCATATATTTGTGGCAGAGGTACAATGGAAAATGGAAAGCTCAGAAATTAAAATCATGGCCAGAATTTGTGTCCCAGGGCTGGGGTTCCAGCTTGTGCAGTTTTTTCATAGATAGATGGCATGTTGTCTTTGAGGCAGTGCTCTCTCCTAGAACAAGGCAAAAAAGAGCGGCCTCAGTTCTGCTACCCTTATGGGTATGTGTACACTGGAGCTGGAGGTGTAATTTCTTAGTGGGGGTGATAAGCCCATTCTAGCTCAGCGTGAACTAGCGCACTAAAAATAGAAGTGTAGCCATGGTGGTGCGTGCTCTCGGATGGACTAGCCATTCTGAGTACACCCCCTTCCGAGACCCTCAGAAGATACTTGGGTGGCTAGCTGCTTACGCCACCACGGATACGCTTCTAATGTTAGTGCGCTAGCTCCAGTGTAGACATATCCTAAGGTGGGCACAAAGAGAAAGTAGCCTGCCTCACTTGTTGGGAATGTAGGAGTGAGGACAGAAGGAATAGCGCTCCTCACCTTTTACCGCTTCTTTTCACTTGTAGGGAGAGTCAGCAGGGGGAATAAACATGGTAAAGCTGATAAAAGTGTGGGAGGTCCCTGAAACAACCTCATAAAAACCTATCAACCTCTAGAACATTTTACCATAGAATGTGGTGGATTCTCCATCACTTGGACTCATTAAGGGCTGATCCCACACAATTTAAATCAATAAGAGCTTTAGCATTAAGTTCCAGAAACAAAAATGCGTGTGAATCAGGGGTTCACAGGTTTGCAGAAGCCTTGTTTATATACAGGTCTATCAGGGCTTTCTTGCCAATTAAAAGAACAAGCAATATTAGTTTTCGCTGTGTGTGGCTAAGGAAATATGTAATACCTTTCTCTTTTTAAGTGGTTTATATAGTAACTAAGTGTATGTCTATACTACCTACCGGATCGGTGACAGCGATTGATCCAGCGGGGTTCAATTTATCGCATCTAGTCTAGACACGATAAATCGACCCCCGAGCACTCTCCCGTCGACTCCTGTACTACACCGCTACGAGAGGCGCAGGCAGAGTCAACGGGCGAGCGGCAGCAGTCAACTCACTGCAGTGAAGACACCGTAGTTAGACAGGTCTAAGTACGTCTACTTCAGCTACATTATTCATGTAGCTGAAATTCCCCACCACACCCACCCAGTGTAGATTCAGGGTCACACAGCTCCCTTCTTTAGTGTTAATGCTGACTAGACCTGTGTGTGTTTAGCAGGCCATATGTTATGTCATTAAGAAGATAGGCCAAGAAAAGATTACACCTCACCTATGTTATTAATTTAAACTTTTTAATTAAGAAATAATACAGCTGTGTGTAGCTGAGAATGTTAGGGAAGGAAGACACCAGCTAGACACAGAAATTGTAGCGCTTTAACTATATTAGTATACACACCTCCTAGATTTCTGTCAGTTAGGGGTGTGATTTTTTTTTTAAATCAGTATAAGTTAAAACATCACAGCTTTTCTAGTGTGGATGCAGTTATGGGAAGGTGAATAAACTATACTGAGATTAGGCACTAGTATGAAGATGTTATACTGGTATAAAAATGTGTGTAGATGAGCCCTTCGACAGCTATGCAGAAAAGTGGTCGATCATCCAAGAGCTATCAAACATGATCGTTTCTATTAGTAGAAGGAACTACGGAGGTGCTGTTATAATTAATGTAAACCTTAGCTGTTCTGACAAGAATCTTCTGGCTGATGTGCACAACTGTCTTCTTTTCAGGAAAGCGCGGTTGCCTTGGCGAGCCGCTGGCTAGAATAGAGCTGTTCCTGTTCTTCACTAGCCTCCTTCAGAAATTCACATTCCAAGCTCCGAAAGACGTGAAGCTAAGCCTTCAGTTCAGAATGGGAGCTATTCTTAGCCCACAGCCATACAAGATCTGTGCGCTGTCTCGATAGGGAAAGCCAGGACATTTTTATCATTGCCCCATTTCTCAAAATAATTACGCTTTGCTGTGCTTGTATATAGGGCTGCATCGGCAGTTCACTATGTCTCCAAATTTCCCTGCCTGCCTCCATTCTTACAACCCAACAGGGGACCTATATTAGCAACTGGACGATTTGGGAGCCTGATATTGGAAGGGGCTGTGGCTGTTATACATCCTACCATGACGACAGCTCTTCCTGGTGTCCCTGCCACACCAGTCTGTGTGCATGCACACTCAGGATGGCCGAGGAATTGTCACTCCCATATCAATCAGGTTGAAAAAAGGTAAGTATATTTCATGAATTCTTTCAAAAGGAACATTTTTCATGAAATATGTCGTTTTTCAATAGAAATTTTTCAAGACATTTTTTATTAAATTTCAGTGGTGTGAAAAAAACATGACCTTTTCTCTCACTGTTTAATGAGGGGTAGGGAGAATTTAAAGACAGGCGAGAAAGTGTGATTTTCCCTACCAACACAAAATTTAAAAAATGAAATTTCTTTGAAAAATGAAAAATTTCAACCGAGATTGAAATATTTCTGCAGGATTTTTTTTTATCAAAAAGAGGGGGGTTTTTTTACTGAAAAAACGACAACCAGTTTTAGATGCATCCTGCTGCCTCTGAATCTTGCCAACCACCATTGTTCTCTCACCCGCTATGATCTTTGATGAGAATTCTATCCACCTCTCCTGCCTGAAGTTTTTGTGGTGAGAGAACTCCTGAATCTTTTAAAAAGTTAATACTAATACATTTTTAAAACCTGCCCACATTGGGATTTGAATTCCTAACCTATATAACAGTACTAGTGCTCAACCCTGCTGCCATGAGTATTGCTGAGAAACCTCATGGCCTTTAGGTGGTGGGCCAGGAAGGGAACTAGGGCAGAATTTTACATATTGACTATTTCAGTTGGAATGGCCGGGTTGCTGATGGGGTTGGTTTAGTGCACATGTAGTTGAACGAAGGCGAGCTGGACGTTTCATAGGCAAATTTACCGTGGTTCTTAATTTTACTTTTGGTGTTTAGGTGCTTTAGAAATACTTCAGAGGGTCAGATATTTTGTTAACTGGCTGAGGATCAATGTAGTTAAAGAACAGTTATAGCCCTTATTTTGCAACGTGGATAGTGTTTACACAACAAATACTTTTAAATTATTCTTGCAATGTTTGATTTTGGCCCTATCATTCTTGAAAAGTGATTCTTCAAGAAATTCTAAGAGTAAAAAGAGTTATTAATTTTTTTTGCAAATTTAAATATAACTTTCTGCAAAAAAGTTCCAATAACTGACATTTTAAAGTTAGTAAAGAGCACTTGTTTGTATTGTTATTTATATAGCTAATTTGTTTACTCAGAGTCGTACTAATAAGATAAAAGAGCACCAAGCCCAGGTTCTGAGCACCCATGACAAAATGCAATGCACACCTAACAGACCCTTGTAACTGATTCACTAACAGCAACATGAGTATAACCCCACCATCTAGAAAAATCCCCTACTAGAGTCCCAGTGCTGTCACTGTACACAACACCCCCTGAACACAAAAAGCACTTTTCCCTTCTCTAGATCTCCTATCTAAGAAGCTATGTATACAGCTGTAGAGTCCATATCTCCTGGCTCCCACTACTGTGCCTACATGAAAAGACCATTTATCCTGCACTTGCAATAGTAGATGCTTAGTTCACGTAAATATAATCACCGTTATTTGAAAAGCAATTTCCCTTTGGCTCCTTCTTTTTCCCCTATCACTTGTGTGTCTGTGCTTGCTTGCATGTGCCTGTGCCTATTTTCTCTCAAAGGTTGCTCAGGTTCCTGAAATAGGGTCAAATTTCTGTGAATGGTGGTTCATGAAGTCAGCCATTTTCACCAGTTCCCCTTAACCATCTGCTAAAAACCTAAAGAGTCAGTGGAATGGCACTAGAGTTCAGGACATTTTTCTTCCCCAGTCAAGTTGCGTCGTGCTTTTCCCATTTATTCTACTCCAAAATGTCATCAGCGTACTCCTGAGCCAGATGGGAGGCTAAAAAAGAAACTTTTCTTTAGCAAAGAAGAAATTATTTAACTTTTTCTTTAAAAAAAAATGTTGATAACAGGAAAAAATCATTAAAAAAAATACAAACATTTAGGGTTAGATTTTTAAACCTCTCACTGACTTTGTTGAATAGTTAATCACGTGAGTAATTCCTTTGAAATCAATGGATCCACTCTCCTGTGTTTGGCTCTTAATTAATGGTGACACTCACCACAATGTGCCAAATTTCCCCAAAGATGGTACATGCATGCACAGAAACAGCTGTCTGGCCAGAAGTTTTGCAATTGACACATAGCCTGTGTGTGTAAAGGCTCTGTATTGCACACACAGGTACTATTTTCCAAAAGTGAATGTGCAACGTAGCATTGCACTCAAATTGAAGCCAGCTTGTGATCGCTTTGCACATCCGGCCCTGTGTCCACTTCTTAAAAATGTAAATATTCTTATGAAACCATTTCAAACTTAGATTCTGTGTGTGTGTGTTTAAATACAGCAAATTGGTAGTACACATATGGGAAAATATGGACACACAACACTATAGGGGGAACATTACCAACAGCACCACGGCAGCGTTTCTGGAAATTAAATCAGGGAAGCTTGGTGGCTTCCCGACAAGACCAGGAGACATTACGGTAGAGGAGTGGTTCAGGTCTGTGAAGGCAGCTCTGCATGTGCTGAGAGTACCTGAAGAAGATTGTGTGGACTTCATAGAGGAACACCTCCAGGGCCACAGTAAAGTTCATGGCAATGGCAGACAAGAAAGATGTGGAAAAGGTATCTGAACTCCTCCTAGAAGTGTATGGAGACAAGGTACCTCAGGCTTTAGGTGGCAGGACCCTTCTTCCCAGCGTTGCCCCTGCCCAGTCAGGGTTATGATCTCCCTCCAAGTCTGGCCTGCAAGCTCTCTTGGCTGGGGGCATCTCCCTGCACTGGGCCCAGGGTCCCCCTCGCCCTCTCCAGCTGCTCACCACACCCAGCTCCGGACTGCTCCAGCCCCAGCTCCAGCTCCAGCCCCGGCTCCAGCTCCACTCGGCCTCAGCGCTGCTGCTGCTCTGCCTCCAGCTCCCTGCGCTGCTCCTCTGGCTCTGGTTGCTACAGCTCTGCTCCCAGCACAGGTCTGCTCTGTGGGCTGCTTCGTTGGCTCTGCTCCCGGCACTGACCTGCTTCTTGGGCTGCTTTTCTGGCCCCTCTGGCTGGCCCGGCTCTGCTCCCCAGCTCAGCTTGGGCCCCATCCTTTCTGCTTGGCTCGGCCCCACTCTGTCTGACCCAGGCAATTCCAGCTCACCTGGAGAACTGGACCCCCTGGCCTCCTGACTCCCTGATTAGCCTGCCTGCCCTGTCAATCAGGCTGATCTGGAGCACTGGCCTCTCCCCATTGTTCCTGGGGACTGTCAATCTCAGGGACCTGATTTCCCATCGACCCTTCCCCTTTCTTTTCGTACTGGGAGCTAGCCAACTAGGGTGATCAGATAGCAAGTGTGAAAAATCGGGACGGGGGTGGAGGGAAATAGGTGCCCATATAAGAAAAAGCCCTTAATATCGGGACTGTCCCTATAAAATCAGGACATCTGGTCACCCAATAGCCAACCAGAACACCCCCACTGAGTTTTAGTAAGGGTCCCCTTACACTGAGGAAAAATCTTTGCTGATGAGCTGAAGGAACCAGGAGAGGGGGCCCTAGCAGGGTTTCCGGGTTAGGACTCTGGCATGGAAAGCTCTTGTGTAGCTGTTTGAGCGTTTGTTGATTTTACTTGTAAACTTTGTCCTCCGCCAGCGTCAGCAGCAAGTGGATGGGCAGGGCTGTGCCTGCTGCTATCAGGTTTCCCTCTACCCCAGTCACTCCTCCCTCTTCCAGCTGCAGGGGTGCACCTGGCCGAGGAAGATGCCACTGCAGACTGTCCCTGGGTTAATGTGGCTCTGGCAGAACATGCCCTTTCAGACACTGGTCATGTTCTTAGGCCTGTTCCTGCTGATTGCTGATTGCATGGAAAGGAGACGGCCAAAGAATTTCCCTCCAGGACCTTTGCCCCTGCCGTTCCTGGGCCACCTGCTCCATGTGGATTTCAAACAGCCCCATAGGACTGTAGAGAAGGTAAGTGTGGGAGGGGAGCAAGTAACAGAACGCCACTAGCTGTCACCTTCAGCCCCCAAATAAAACCTCTCCAGCGCATCAGCAAGGATCTACAACCTATCCTGAAGGATGATCCCTCACTCTCACAGATCTTGGGAGACAGGCCAGTCCTCGCTTACAGACAGCCCCCCAACCTGAAGCAAATACTCACTAGCAACCACACTACCACACAACAAAAACACTAACCCAGGAACCTATTCTTGCAACAAAGCCCGTTGCCAACTCTGTCCACATACCTATTCAAGGGATACCATCATAGGACCTAATCACATCAGCCACCCCATCAGAGGCTCGTTCACCTGCACATCTACCAATGTGATATATGCCATCATGTGCCAGCAATGCCCCTCTGCCATGTACATTGGATAAACCAGACAGTCTCTACGCAAAAGAATAAATAGACACAAATCAGATGTCAAGAATTATAACATTCAAAAACCAGTCTGAGAACACTTCAACCTCCCCCGTCACTCAATTACAGACCCCCTGCTATTTTTGTCCCACTACTGTTACTCACACCTTCTTGTCAACTATTGGAAATGGGCCATCCTGATTATCACTACAAAAGCTTTTTTTCTTCTGCTGATAATAGCCCACCTTAATTGATTAGTCTCGTAATAGTTGGTATGGCAACACCCATTTTTTCATGTTCTCTGTGTATAGATATCTTCCTACTGTATTTTCCACTGCATGCATCCGATGAAGTGGGTTTTAGCCCACGAAAGCTTATGCCCAAATAAATTCGTTAGTCTCTAAGGTGCCATAAGGACTCCTTGTTCTTTTTATAGGAGTTCTATTTGCAAGAGATTTTTTCACCAGGGAGTGGTGGGTGAGAGAGACGCTGGGTGAGACCCTCAGCTGCGCCTGAAAAATGTATAGCACAGCTCATGATGGCACCACCTCTGCACTGCCATGAACTTGGGTTTGTCCTGGTGCTGCTCTGACCCCTGGCATAAATTACAGCCATCTCTACACTGCTCTGAGTTGTACCAGCTACTAACAGTCCCAGTGGGCCATTCCAGAAGCCTGCTGCCCGGGATCACCAGAGCACAGGAAAACCTCTGGTCAAACCCCTTTTCCCTCAGCCAGTGTCCAGGATATGGGGGTCCCATCTGTGGATTCCTTTCCAATGGAAATCCTCAGGAGGTAGGATCCTCCAGGTTTACCTCTGCTTTGTGCTGGGGTACAGTTTAAATTAGATTTGACGTATCAGCGAATTGAGGCCTGATTACATGTGGATGGCAGTGTCTGATGGAGTACACAATGTACCATGGTTTGAAGGTAGCGAGTGGGGAGTAGTGAGTGTGACAGGGGGCTTGCAATGTGTGCAGGGGCTTGGGCAGTGCAGGAGCAGGCCCAGAAGGACTTAACAGGTAAGAACAGGCTCATAAAAAGTTACCAAGTATAGAAGGACTGAGACGTGGAAGGGGCTGTGTAGGGTTTGAGTTGGTGCTCATCAGGGTTGGAAAGAGCTCACAAGGAAGTAGGTTTTGTGGGAATTTTCAGTGACATTTCACAGGGGCTTGAGGGAATTTAATTACAGGCTTTTAAACAGGTTTGCAAAGAATGCAGGCTTGGTAAAAACTTGTAAGGAGCATGGGGAGTTGGGCAAGGGTTGGAAGCAAGACCTGGAAGGGTTGGATTAAGTGGGAGCTCATAAGGGTTAGAAAGCGACCTACGAAGCCTAAGGGAGTTTCGAAGGTTACTTGTGAGGGCCGTCCCCTTGCAAGGGCTAGAATGGGTTCCTTTCACACAGGCCTCTGTGGAAGCCAGTAATTTGTTCTCCGCAGCTTTCAGTCACACCCCCTGAGTGCCCCAGGGAGCTACGTAGTTTATTGTGAGGTGCGTGTAGGCCAGAAGGAAGGGGTACTTTTGACAGAACTGGAGTGTGTTTTGTTTAAACCAGAATGTTAATTTCTTCACTATGGGAAGGGCAACATATCTGCAGTCAGTATTGCTACCAGCCAGGAAGGTGTCTGTTCCTGTCACTTAGAGTGGGCTGATTGTCAATAATTATTATTTACCAGTAGGTCTGTTTTATTTTGACATCCCCTAGGAAAAGGCACAGGGCATTCATTGTCCTTGGATATGCTTGTTTTACTGTTACCTCATTTTCCTCCCCATTTATATGCTTCATTCACCTGTTATATTCACTTGTGAGCTCTTTTGGGATAGGGACTGTCTTTTAAATCAGTGCTTGAACAGCCGGGCCCCTGACTGCTATTGTAATATAAATACTTTTTTATATAATAATTATTATTAATCAAGTAGTCATTACATGGGCTCTAGTTCTGGTTCTCAAACAAATTAAATAGGAACTAAACCACATGCTCTTTTTTTTTCCAGCTTGTTGGAAAATATGGCAACATTTTCAGCTTGCAGCTTGGTAACCTGACATTTGTGATTGTAAATGGATTCCAGCTGGTGAAGGAAGTGCTTGTCCATCAGGGTGAATACTTTCTTGGTCGCCCACAAATTCCTCTTATCTACGAAATCTTCGGTCCATTTGGTGAGTTTCTTTTCTTATCTCTTTCTTCAAGTATTTTAATAATCAAGGCACTGCTTCTGCAAACACCTAAATACCTTTGACTATCTGGGCCTTAGTGATTTACACATGTGCTCATATCTCATTGACGGCCCCTATTCTAATCCCAACTGCCATATCCCTGGCAGCAGCAGCAGCAGATTCACATGGCTACCATGTAGTTGTGATGGCATGTAGAATGGACTTCCATCCTGGATGGTCCCTTGCAAGTTTTCCTTCAGCAAGAGTCAGTATGGGAGGATTCAGGCTTCTGAAATCCCTCAAAATTGCATCTTCCAACCTCATTCGTGGTCAGCATTGCGGCCTACTTCCTTGAACCTCAGCTCTATACATCTTCTGTAAAAGTGTACCTTCTGCATGTTGGACATGACCCCACCATTGCTAGAGCCCAGGCACTCTGATATAATAGTGAAGAAGAAAATATCCTTTGTGAAAAGATAGCCAGGCCTCACTTAAACTTGAAAAAGGAAAGGGTGTTAAAGTTTTCTAATCTTCTAATGACCGTTACAATATACCAGGTGTCATTTTTCACCCCAGGATTAGTCACCTCTAATGGACATAGCTGGAAACAACAAAGAAGATTTGCTTTATCAACTCTAAGAAACTTTGGCCTGGGGAAGAGGGGCTTAGAAGAACGAATACAGGAGGAGAGCAGATACCTCACAGATGCAATTGAGGAAGAAAAAGGTGATAACTAGAGAGAATGGCACTTTAATTATTCTATCAAAAATTGTAGCTCTTCTTTGGCAATGTATGTGAAATAACAGATGTACCTGAAACAGGGCCGGCTCCAGCATTTCTGCCGCCCCAAGCAAAAAGAAAAAAAAAAAAGGTGCGATCATCGGCGGCAGCTCAGCGGCAGGTCCTTCGCTCCTAGAGGGAGTGAGGGACCTGCCGCCTCCGAATTGCCGCAGGTGCCGCCCCTCTCCCTTGGCCGCCCCAAGCATCTGTTTGTTAAGCTGGTGCCTGGAGCCGGCCCTGACCTGAAACATGATGTTTGAATCCAGATCTTTCCTAACGCTCAGTTCAGATGAGGGATTTGGATTAGCCCCTTAGACATATATGCACCTTGGTGCCATAGTCCAGATCTGGATACGTATCGAAAAGTTTGGTGGTGTTTGGGATTCATTTTTTTATATCAGTCACTAATGGCACTAAATGCTGAGTCCTCAGCTTGCCTTCAGCTTCCATGTAGCCATACAAATTTACAAAACAATCCCACAAAAGTGTTCATTGCCAAGATTAATGACCATGGAGAGAAAGTGGTTCATAATCACATATATATAAAACCTCCCTACACTATAACAAAGGGAGAGACCCGTGTAAAAAAATATAAATGTCTCTATACATAGCAAAAACTGACTTGAACTGGTAGTTTTGATATGCTGCATGCATCAAAATGCAGCTCAGCCCATCTTTGTGTTTAACAGTTTTTCAGTATTCAGATAGGTGACAATGCAGCAAACTTTGCTCAAGGGATATGTATGAGGGTGTGTGGGAGGGTGTGATATATGCATATGTTCAGGTTTTATTCATGGATTTCATACACATCAAATAGTTTGTCTGTCAACAACTTTCTTCCCCTTTTCTAAGAAACCAGAAGGACACCGATTTTTCCCCTTTTCTCTTCCAGGGCAACCTTTTGACCCTCACTTTAAAATTAATAATGCTGTTTCCAACATTATCTGTTCCATCACTTTTGGGGACCGGTTTGAATATCATGACAGTCACTTCCAGAAGTTACTGCGGTTGATTGATGAGACTTTGTACCTCCAGAGAACTATTTGGAGCCAGGTAGAGCTTGTTTAATTTTGACTTTAAACGTATGAAATCAATGGGAAAACCCCGAGTAGTTTCATTGGAAGCAGGACTGAGTGTGACAGTGTCGTCCCAGATTCACTTCTACCATAGCCTGAGTGGGGCATCCATGCTCTCATTTTCCCCAACAAATCTCTCTCCACCTCCGGCTAGTCTCTTTCACCTGGCCCCCCTGAAGGTATCGTGCTAGATCCTCAAACCTGACTTCTCTAGACCAGTGCTGCCACCCCACAGGCACTTAATGTGATCTCTAATGGGACTGACAACCCAGTGGGCTGTTTCAATGGGCATCAGGGAGGTGTGCGTAGGAGAGGGGAAGAAGAAAAGGTGCCAAATCCTCGCTGCTGCCAAGCAACTCCCTTCCTTGCTGTCACACTGTGCATTGGACTCTGTGCTCAGGGGAGGGTTGGCTCAAGGATCTGTGTGGCAGGGGTAGATCCTCTGGATATTCTTGCGGCAGTGAGGATGGCAGGGTGTCATTACGCAACAGGCCTGGTGGGAGGTGACCCCCGGAGGCAAGGCCAACCTACTGTCAAGGTCAAGGGCTCGTCCAGCTGGCAGTGTCTTCAGGTGGCCCCATTTGCAGGGACAAATCTCTGTGTTTCGTAATGGTGATGGCTCACTGACACAGGCCCTGAAAACAGGGGCAATCATGGTTTCCAGGGACACAACATTGTTACCCAAAGCTTGTTGGACCTTTCTCCTCTTGTTACCTCCCAGTTCAGCACAGCGTAGTGGGTGAGATGAGACATAATCCTGCCACTGCAGCAGCAGTCATGTTGAGAGGCAAAACACAGTGCCTGCGTCTATCTGCTCATGGGGCTGCGCCCAGGCAGTCTCCCTGTGTTTTACCAACCCTCCAATACCAAAGTCTAATCTCCGATAAAAACTGTGGGAACATCAATATTATCAACATCATGTGTCGGAATGTGAGGCCAGATTCTGACGTTGTGACCTTTATGTCCTTCCTCACTTGTAAAGCAGCGAATCGTTCCCAGGGTGGCCATTCAGCCGTCTGAAGTGGCTACTAACACACTGCCTCAGGCAATCCAGCACATTGTCCTGTAGGGGGCACCAAAGCAATAGGAGCAGGAGCTCGTGACCAGCCCAGCAGTCACAGCAGAGGGCTGAGAGAAGACAGTCCGTATCTTAATGAGCTTGTGGTTAAAACGCTGCACTGCGACTCAGGACACCTAGCTTCACTTTCTGGCTCTGTAACAGATGCCTGTGCGGTCTTGGCCAAGTCACTTAATCTCTCTCTGCCTCAGTTCTCACTCCGTAAAATGGCGATAATATTTCCTTTCTCGCACCCTTTGTCTCTCCTGTCTCTTTAGATTCTAGGCTCCTCCGGTCAGGGACTCACTGATATGTATCTGTCATGTGCCTACCACACTTGGGTCCTGATCTTAGTTGAGGGCTCTGAACACATCCATAATACAATTATGTATTAATCTGATTTAATAAATGCAGGCTCTTGAGCAGAATGCATGTGGGTGTATTAAACTGCAACATGCATGTTTCTAAAGCTAGGCTAAAATGTATTGTGTTCTGTTTGTATGTCAAAAGCTGTATGACTCCTTCCCGACCATAATGAAGTGGATACCTGGACCCCATCACACAATTTTTAAAAACTGGGAAAAACTGAAGAGTTTTGTGAAGGAAATGATTGCAAAGCACAAAGAGGACTGGAATCCATCTGAACCCAGAGACTTCATTGACTGTTATCTGAAGGAAATAGCAAAGGTAAGAGAGCAAAGAACAAAGTGAACAGGAACAAACCATGTTTTTGTTTTAAAAATTAGAAGTAGAATGACAGTAACAGGGCTCACCAGTTGAGTTGTCTGAGCATCTGACCCTCCATTAGTTAACAGTTAGAAACCCCAGGTAGGATGGAACTGATTCAGCAAAGCCTTTAAGCACATGTTTTCCTTTAAGCAGGGAAGAGCAGGCTCGCTGAAGTCAGTGGGACTACTCGGATGCTTGAGTGCTTTGCTGAATTGGGGCCTAAAAATGTAAGGTTACCTGTGCTTTAGGGGCCAGACCCAAAGCCAGTTGAAGTGCATGGGAGTCTTTCATTGACTTCAGCAGGCCCTCTGCTCAGACCTAAAATCAGTTCAAACTTTTCACTCTCAAGAATGATGCTAAAAGCACAGTCTTTCTATCTAATGTGCTGTCCTGGCACCCTCAACTCTCACCGAAGGCAATGGAAATTCAGGGCACCCAGCACCTTGCAGAATTGAGCCTGGAATGATGTTTCCATGGCTTTGTATAATAGTAATCAATATTTTTGTAGTCCCACCCACATATATCTTTGTTCTAAGGCCGATGCCGACCCTAGTTTCCATGAAGAAAATCTCGTATTTTCCACACTGGATCTTTTTTTTGCTGGAACTGAGACAACGTCTACAACCATCCGCTGGGCTCTGCTGTACATGGCCCTATATCCTGACGTTCAAGGTAAATGGTAATGGTTTATATTTCTAATCTCTTAATAGCTCTTCAATTTCTACCCTTAACCCGTGCCACATCGGGGACTTTTCACAGAACTCAGAATGTTGATTTAGGAAATCTCTGTTCAAAGGTGCTTTCTTCCCACATTAACCTTTTTTCCCCATTCAGAAACCCTTTCTTTTATTGGAATTGTTTCTTTTTCTTTACCCTCCGTTACACCTCCAGCAACTAGTGCAAGGGAAGGAGTGCAATCCACAGCTGCAATACCCTTGATTAAAGAGGAAGCTGGCCTTGTGGTTAATTAATAGAACTGGGACTCAGAATACCCAAGTCCTAGTTCAGGCTCTGCCTCAGACGTCCTGGGTGACCTTGGGCAAATCATTTAATACCTCCGTGCTTGTAAATGTGGGTTGTGGATTTTTAAAAGGTGGTCCATGGTCAATGTCCTCTTCAGCCTTGAGATGTGACCCATGGAGGCTACGAGGGGGAACTGTGTTGAAAATAATGGCAGATATAATCTGCTTCATTTAATGCAAAATATGTGCAGTCCTTGGAGTCTTGGCAAACTGCTGGAAGATCCCTGTGCCCAGAAAATTTGAGAGTCTTGCCTGACAGAGAAAACCAGCAGATAAATATTTTCATGCTCAGATATCTCTTGGGTCAGCCCAGTAATTGACCCTGCTATTTTGAACAGGGACAAAATACGTATTGATAATGCCTTTACATTTGATTTTGAGAAGCAGAGTAAACGCCTCTTGTCTTCTGTATAGGTATTAAAGGAGGTCTTCCTATTATGCCTTAATTATATTTTAAAATTCCTTTCACCTCCTCACCACTGCATTTGTCTCAGGCTAACCAGCAGTAGTTTTCTTATGTATTTGTATGTTCAGATCTCTACATTACTCACTGATGCTGTTTCCAATGCTTGAATCGAGCTTTATTAGGTATAGGCTTAAAATCAATGAACTCTAAACTCTGCACAACTTAAGTCTGTTGTTTCAAGAACGTATTATTCTTGGAACAATAATGAACTCTGCTCTTTTCACAGAGAGAGTGCAAGCGGAGATTGATGCAGTGATTGGCCAGTCTCGCCAGCCAGCCATGGACGACAGGGACAACATGCCATACACCAATGCAGTTATTCATGAAGTGCAAAGGATAAGCAACATCTTGCCTTTAAGTGTGCCCAGAATGGCAACTAGTGACACAACACTGGCCGGATTCTATGTGCCAAAAGTAAGCTGGACAGAAATGTAGTTTTCACTTCTTATCTTGGTTTAAGAAATTAATAGAGATGAGCCCAAACCAAAGGCCCAGATAGAAACACATTTGCACCCCGGAGGACCCAGTTCTGAATCGGAACCCATTTTGGGAATCAACCCAGATCCAGAGCTGAATTTTACAGGTGGCCCCTATTTCTATACTGGGCTAAAATTCCTTAACCAAAACCTTGGATGCTCACATTCTTTGAGGAAGTTGAAATCTAGATCAGACTTTTGCAGTCTATCTTCATAAAACGAGATGTAAGTTATTTATTTTTAATTGCATCTAATCATAGTAAAAGGAGGACTGAGAAGTAGGTCCAGCACAAGTTCACCACTGTGGCTATTGATTCATGAAAGATCAGCCAGGTTCTTGGACGCAGAGACTTAAAGGTATTCAGGCACCTAAGTCTATTGGAAATCAATGGGAGTTATGTGCCTAAATACTTTTCAGGGTCTGGGCCTTTGGTGTCTGCAGATGGGAGCGGCTGCTTTTGACGGGTGGGGCGTATCTCAGCTTCAGCAGCTCCAGAATTCTGAACTGCTTTCGTCTCAAGCTGCAGCATTTCTGACTCCACCTAACCGTGCTGCTGAGCCACAATTTCTCCCCATGGAAGGGAGCAGGCTGGAATTCCTACCCCAGCGTTCCCGGAGTATGTTCAGCGGAAGCTCTCCTCAGGTCCTAACACATGGGCGCATTCTTCTTCTCCAGCCTGTGGACTGATCCTCAGTGAGATGGGGACAAACCCAGGCTCAAGAGCAGTGAGCTCATTCTGGAGCTCAGGCAGGCAGAGGACCATTCTACCAGCAAGTGTGCCGAAGGAGACCATTGCCCGTGGCAACCTTCCATTCTGCTGACAGTAACCCTTCATTAATATAACTTACGGGAAATGTCTGTACACAGTAGCAGGGGGAGAGTGCATTATATCTGCAGACAGCAATTAGGAGTGCAAAAAAAGAACTTTAGCTCACACGAGTGTTAGTTTGCAGGAGCACTTGCTGGATTTGCCTAGAGGTATATACTATACACATATACATCATTTGAGGCCAACCACCACCACATCCCTGAAAATTTGGTCCTTAAAAAAGAAAGGTGGGTGGATGGGTTGTGCTCCTTTTTGATGCTTTACTCTGTATAAAGAATGCCTGAGAGTTTCTATTTTTTCTGCTTGTTTTTTTTATTAGAAATTCAACCTTGCCTACCCTGTTTTTCCTGGGAGATACAGGAGAACTAGTAGGTGTATAACATCACACCTGTGAAGGAAATGAACCTGTTTAGTTGAGATGGGAAGTGATTTTTAGTCACACTGGTGTCCATTTTTGGTTTGTTTGTCTGTTGTGATATTAACACCTGTTTAACTCAAATTCTAAAAAAACAGTTGGAAGAAAAGCTCTCTTTCTTCAAAGATTAACAGCCCCCTCCTTCATCTAAAGTCTGTGATGGCTCCCATTCTTCTCTCTCTGGGACCTCCAGAGACACTACCAGCAAAACCAGGGAAAGCCAGATTTGAAATTCTAGATAAATTTAAGGTAAAGAACTGGCTGGAAAATTGTCCTTTTTGAAAAAAAAACATCCTTTTGTGCCTTCTTTGTACATCATAAAAGATTAAATTGAAAGGCATGATCTCTTCTTTTTTGCCTCTTTGCGGGTCACAATTTAAAAATGGAATTGGGGAAGGTTTAAATTCCTTTCTTTCTCTTTCTTTAGGGCACCGTTTTGATTCCCAATTTGACATCAGTGCTGTTTGACAAGAATGAGTGGGAAACCCCTCATACTTTTAATCCTAAGCATTTCCTGGAGGATGGTCAGTTCAAGAAAAAAGAAACTTTCCTCCCATTCTCTGCAGGTGAGATGTGTCTGACTTTGTCCATTCGCACTATAGCACCAAGTCTTAGCCTCTCTCCTTTTTCAGTTTAGAAAAACCCCACAGCATTTATTAGTGACAGAGGCACAATGAAAAATGGAAAGCTCGGAAATGAAAATCATGGCCAGAGTTTGTGTCCCAGGGCTGGGGTTCTGGGTTGTGCAATTTTTTCATAGGTAGAGGGCATGTCATTCTTGAGCAAGTGCTCTCTCCTAGAACCAGGCTCGACACAACAACAGTAAAGAGCGGTATGAGCTCTGCTACCCTTAGTCGTATGTGTACATTGGAGCTGGAGGTGTAATTTCTTGTTGTGGGTGATAATCCCATGCTACCTCGGAGCGAGCTAGTGTGCTAAAAATAGAGGTGTAGCCATGGTGGTGCATGCAGCTGGATGGACTAGCCATCCCGTGTACATCCCCTTCCGAGACCTTCAGAATATACTTGGGTGGCTAGCCGCTCATGCCACCACGGATACATTTCTAGTGTTAGTGCGCCAGCTCCAGTGTAGACATACCCTAAGGTGGGCATTGTAGCTGGGCGGACACCCGCTCCTGCCCTGAGGGGTTGGAAAAGCCCTGCAGAAGGCTGTTGCAGGGAGAAGCAGCTACTGGTCTGATTGGGGAAGTAGCTGCAGCTGGGCCACACTCTAATCAGAGCCCAGATGGCCTGTATAAAGAGGCTGGGAGCCAGGAACCCAACAGTCTCTCTCTGTCTGCAGAGAGAGAAGGGCCTGGCTGCAGTGAGCTAAAGACAGAGTACCTGAGTGGAGCAGGGCTGGGGAAAGGCTGAGGAGCTGGGGTGCTCTAGCCTGGATAGCAGCCTAGGAGAAGGCTAAGGGGTACTCGGGGGTTGCAGAGCGCAGCCCAGGGCTAGGCCAAGGCAGCAGGTCCAACCCCCCCTTGGCCTATACTGCAGTCTGCCCTAGAGAGAGGGGGCTAGTTGGTGACTGGCAGTGGCCTTATCCTGAGGTGAGGTGGGGTTAGTGGGTGGGGGTTCCCCTGGGAGGGGAGACCCACTGTGTGTGGGTATTGCCAGGAGGCAGCACCCAGAGCAAGGGGCACTGGGGTCCTGGGAGGGACACGGGGGCCAGTGCAGACAACAAGGTGGATCACCAGCCTACAGAGGGTGCTCCAGAGGCTGGTGAGCTAATTCCCTGGACGACCAGCGGGAGGTGCCGCAGGGGTGAGTCCGGACGTTCTACAGGCACAAAGAGACAGTAGCCTGCCTCACTTGTTGGGAATGTAGGAGTGAGGACAGAAGGAATAGCCCTCCTCACCTTTTACCGCTTCTTTTCACTTGTAGGGAGAGCCAGCAGGGGGAATAAACATGGTAAAGATGATAAAAGTGTGGGTGGTCCCTGAAGCAACCTCATAAAAACCAATCAACCTCTAGAACATTTGACCATAGAATGTGGTGGATTCTCCATCACTTGGACTCATTAAGGGCTGGTCCCACACAATTTAAATCTATAAGAGCTTTAGCATTAACTTCCTTGGACATGGGATCAGATCCTAAATCAAGACTGGGGGAGGTTCAAAATGCTGTGCTCTATGATAACCACAAATGACCACATATTTTGGGGAAATTCAGCTCTAACGCCAAACTTTGAAGGTCAGGCTTGTCTCCAGTTATTTTTTATTCAAAAGTCTTGGCAATTTGAGATTTTTGTGTTTTTGTTTTTACTTGGTGTAAAGATTGTTCAATTCCATGAAAATCTGATCATTTTGGGGGACTTTGGAGACCCATCTTCACCAAACATGGCCCAGAGAATGTCAAAAGCTTTGACATTCAAAATTTCATTCACAGATCAATTTTCACATGAATATACATGAAAACTAGAGGTTCTGTGGTTTGTTTTTGTGTTGTTGTTTTTTTGAGACAAACGCCTATTTTTCATCTGATATGATATGCCAAATTTAAAGAAAGAAAAAATATTTCACAAACAAAATTTCCTGAAACAAAAATGCCTGTGAATCAAGGAGTCAGTTTTGCAGAAGCCTTGTTTTTATACAGGTTTATCAGGGCTTTCTTGCAAATGAAAAGAACCAGCAATATTCGTATTTGCTGTGTGTGGCTAAGGAAAGTATGTAATACCTTTTTCTTTTTAAGTGGTCTATCAAGAAACTAAGATTCAGGGACACACGGCTCCCTTCTTTAGTAATAATGCTGACTAGATCTGTGTGTGTTCAGCAGGCCATGTGCTATGTCATGGAGAAGCTAGGCCAGAGAAAGATTACACCTCACCTATGTTATTTAATTTTAACTTTTTAATTAAGAAATAACACAACTGTGTGTAGCTGAGAATATTAGGGAAGTAAGACATTAGCTAGACACAGAAATTGTAGTGCTTTAACTATATTAGTATACACGCTCCTAGATTTCTGTTAGTTAGGTGTGTGTGGGTTTTTTTTTTTTATCAATATAAGTTAAAACATCACAGCCTTTCTAATGTGGATGCAGTTATGGGAAGGGGAATAATCTACACTGAGATTAGGCACTAGTATAAAGACATCGTTATACTGGTATAAAAATGTTGTAGATCAGGCCTTCGATAGCTATGCAGAGATGTGGTTGATCATCCGAGAGCTCTCAAACATGATTGTTTCTATTAGTAGAAGGAATTACCGAAGTACTGTTATAATTAATGTAAACCTTAGCATCCACTTCCATAAGTGAAGGAAAATTTAGTACTAAAAGCAGGAAAAAGTTCCTCCGAAGGTTGGAACTGATGAAAAAACCATCTCTTCTTCCTCGCTGTTCCCGAAATTGCTGCTGTGGAAAATTAATTCCTCATTTGTCCTGAGACCCAAACTGTTCTGACAAGACTCCTCTGGCTGATGTGCACAACTGTCTTCTTTTCAGGAAAGCGCGGTTGCCTTGGCGAGCCACTGGCTAGAATAGAGCTGTTCCTGTTCTTCACTGCCCTCCTTCAGAAATTCACATTCCAAGCTCCGAAGGACGTGAAGCTAAGCCTTAAATTCAGAACGGGACTTACTCTCCGCCCACAGCCATACAAGATCTGTGCGCTGTCTCGGTAGGGAAAGCCAGGAAATTTTTGTCATTGCCCCATTTCTCAAAATAATTAGTTTGCTGTGCTTGTATATAGGGCTGCAGTTCACTATGGGCATGTCTATACTTGCCATTTAAGCGGAAAAAGCCCCTTTTTTGCACAAAAACCACGGGAGCGTCTACACTTGGTTTTCTTTTTGCGGTGAAACTTCTGAGTGAACAGCTCTTACCAGTGATGCTTTTGCATTGATATGCAAGTGAAGACACGTTTTTCCTGTTTACCCAGCTTTTAGCCTCCGCAGGATATCCCACAGTGCCTAGCTGACCACTCTAGCCAACAGCTCTGTTGCCAGGTAAACAGACATCCACCCCTCCACCTGTAAAGCCCTAGGAACTTTGAAACTCCCCTTCCTGTTTTCTCCGTAAGTGCTCACTTATCTGGCCAGGTGACAATGCCTGCTCCAGGGAGCAAACGATCCCCTGCTTGGAGCAATGCTGAGCTAATGGCGCTTATTAGTGTTTGGGGAGAGGAGGCTACACACGAACCCAGGATGCCCCATGATCACCTCCCCGCCCCTTCCCACAAGACCCATCGTCAAACTGGAGAGAGCTGCACTGTGGGATAGCTGCCCTAGAGTGTTGCTCTCATCACGATGGAAGTGCTGCAAATGTAAAGACTCTCTGATGCCTAAGAAATTAAGTGAGTACACAAACCAGCACTTTACTTTCACTGGTTCCCTATCACTGCAAAAAATCTGCAAGTGTAGACATACCTTAAGTCTCCAAATCTCCCTGCCTGCCTCTGTTCTTATAACCCAACAGGGGACCAATATCAGCAATTGGATGATTTGGGAAGCTGATATTGGAAGGGGCTGTGGCTGTTATGATACATCCTACCATGATGGCAGCTCTTCCTGGTGTCCCTGCCACACCAGTCTGTGTGCATGCACACTCAGGATGGCCTAGGAATTCTCACTCCCATATCACTCTGGTTGAAAAAAGGTAAGTATATTTCATGAATTCTTTCAAAAGGAACATTTTGTTTCATTTGCAGTTTTTCATGAAATATTTAGTTTTTCAATGGAAACTTTTCAAAACTGTTTTTGTTGAAAAAAATTCACTGGTGTGAAAAAAACACAACCAGAAGAGAACTCCTGACTCTTTAAAAAAGTTAATACTAATACATTTTTAAAACCTGCCCACATTGGGATTTGAATTCCTAACCTATATAACAGTACTAGTGCTCAACCCTGCTGCCATGAGTATTGCTGAGAAACCTCATGGCCTTTAGATGGTGGGCCAGGAAGGGAACTAGGGCAGAGTATTAACATATCGACTATTCCAGTTGGAACGGCCAGGTTGCTGATGGGGTTGGTTTAGTGCACATGTAGTTGAACGACATTTCATAGGCAAATTTACCATGGTTCTTAATTTTAAATTTGGTGTTTATTTTATGGTGTTTAGGTGCTTTAGAAATACTTCAGAGGGCAGATATTTTGTTGGCTGGCTGAGGATCAATGTAGTTAAAGAGCAGTTATAGCCCTTATTTTGCAATGTGGATAGTATTTTCAAAGGTAATTTAAAAGTATTTGTTGAACAATGTTGGATTTTGGGCCTATCATCCTTGAAAAGCGATTCTTCAAGAAATTCTAAGAGTAAAAGGAGTTATTAATTTTTTTTAAATTTAAAGATAACTTTCTGCAAAAAAGTTCCAATAACTGACATTTTAAAGTTAATAAAGAGCACTTGTTTGTATTGTTGTTTTCATAGCTAACTTGTTTACTGAGAGTTGTACTAACAAGATAAAAGAGCACCAAGCCCAGGTTCTGAGCACCCATGACAAAATGCAATGCACACCTAAGAGACCCTTGTAACTGATTCACTGAGAGCCTTACGCTAACAGCAACATGAGTATAACCCCACCATCCCGAAAAATCCCCTACTAGAGTCCCAGTGCTGCCACTGTACACAACACCCCCTGAACACAAGAAGCACTGTTCCCTTCTCTAGATCTCCTATCTAAGAAGCTATGTATACAGCTGTAGAGTCCATATCTCCTGGCTCCCACTACTGTGCCTACATGAAAAGACCATTTATCCTGCACTTGCAATAGTAGATGCTTAGTTCACGTAAATATAATCACCGTTATTTGAAAAGCAATTTCCCTTGGGCTCCTTCTTTTTCTTCCCCTATCGCTTGTGTGCCTGAGCATGCATGCGTGTCCCTGTTTTCTCTCATAAGGTCGCTTGACTTCCTGAAATTGGATCGGATTTCTGTGAACGGTGGTTCATGAAGCCAGCCATTTTCACCAGTCCCCCCCAACCTCCGCCCAACCACCTGCTAAAAACCCAAGGCGTCAGTGGAATGGCATTAGAGTTCAGGACATTTTTCTTCCCCAGTCAAGTTGCATCGTGCTTTTCCCATTTATTCTGCTCCAAAACCTCACCAGCCTAATCCTGAACCAGATGGGAGGCTGGTGAGGAAAAATAGTTAATACAATTATGATGGATGCAATGTAGTGCTGATGGCGATTTGGATGGGCTCCTTAATGATGGCATTAATGACACAAGAAGAGACTTTTGCTTTCATTGGAAGATTCGGTCTCAAACTCAGACAGAGGGTGTGTATTTCTGAGTTCATTTGGCAACTTCACAAGGACTGCTAAGGGGGCAAGGGTAGGTTAAAGAGGGGCCTAGTGCTAGTGTACTACAACCCCACCATCAGACACTGATCTATCACCTTTCAGCCCCAAGGATCCCCAAGAGACTTACTTACACACACAATCCCCTGCTGAAGCACGGCCAGTGCTGATGACAGCCAGTAAGCAGCCATTGCACAGCACCCAGCCCAACTTTGGGGATGAAGCAGAAAATAGGCTGGAGTCTAGAAACCAGGTGTATGTGAGGGGAATGGGCTTTTTACGCGTTGTCAGTTATTCTCCTATTACATTTCCTCTGCTGCTTCTTTCATAGGGTGAGAGTGGAACAGTAAAAGCAAAGGCGTGACTACAGTTAAGATCCACTTACTCTGCTTACATTAGAAAAGAAGATTTCTCTGAGTTCCTTCTCAAAGCGAACCCACCCCCTGCCTCCAAAGGAAGTAAATGTACATTTTTCCATGTAATCATTTTGCCAAGCAGGGAGGGTTTTCCAAGGATTTCTACTCATGTTTGCCCCGCCTGAGGGTGCAAACGCAGGTCCCACCATATATCCCCCCCCCCAAGAAAGCCGAAGCCTCTGGAGTTCAGTGAATCTGCACCATGGTAGCTCTCACTGCAACTTCATCTATTATACCTCTCCTCAGCATAAAGGGAGAATATCTGCTGGAGCCAGTCATAGAACCACGAGTTCCGCTTGTACCTTCATGTTCTCTAAACTTATATTTGCCCGGGGAGATTGAGCCACACCATAGATTAACAAACTCACAATTACAAATGTTTGCTGGGGCACTGGGGGAGAAGGAGAGTGATACTGGAGATGAGGTTAGGTTATGTGCAAAATAATCTCTGGCGGGTTGTGTAGTTGCAGGTTTCTTCCAGTTTATTTTGCAAGTCTTGGCTATGGCTCCAGGCCTTTTCTCCTGCTGCTTGTTTCACTTACTGCTGATGTACTTCACCATGTATTTGTTTAATTTCACCTTGAGCACAAAGAATGCATCCTGTGTTACCCAAGGCTTTCAGAGCCCAAAGCAGTGGTAACGTCACTGTTTCACTCCAGGCGGTGTCAGGAATAAATCAGTGGGAACGCAGCACTTCCGGCTGATGAAAAATTGATATGAGTAAGAGTGCTCTTATCTAAAACAACAATGTATTAGATGTAAGCACACTCGCACATAAGCAATAGGTTTAGAACATCCCAGATAATTACCTAGAAGCTGAGCTGGTATTGAGAAACTAGCAGCATGTCTGTGATGGCCGGTCTTTTCCCCAGTGGGGAGTATGATGTCAAGAAATTCTCTCGGGATAGCTTCAGAGAACTGCTCCGAAGTACACTCTATTACCTAGTCTTTTTATAGCTACCTTTTACACAACACAGAGCTTATAGTGACCTCTACTGGGTCATCACCTCTCCTAACTTCAATAAACTACTTATCCACAAAACATTCCTAACAATCGTAATCATAATAAGCTTCTATATAAAACATGCCCAACCTCAAGGTCTTTCAGTCTCAATTTGTTAACTCTTTTCTCCCCTCCTCCCACTCTGATTAGCAGGAATCGCAAGCCTGCAGCTAGCATTTGACCTTACCTCCAGAAGTCCTGCTTCTTCATATGAACCCTCTACTAGTTGGTGTTCTATTTTATTAATTCATGGTTGCTGAATCCGCACAATATGGTTGCAGTTAGCTTGATCAAAGTCTGGGGTAACAACACCCCTGCATTCCAGGGGTCTTATTCGATAATTGCTTAGCAAGACATTTCCCTCCCCTCGACTCCCCACACCCACATAGTTAGTATCTTGCATAGAAGGCTGTTCTGTGATGGCTCTTCTAGCATTTCAGATTTTTTTTCATGCATATCACTTATGCTCCAGTTCAGATTGTTCTTCCACTCTTAGTGCAGCTGTGGCTAAGTATCTACCGAACAATTTCAAATAAAGTTCAGTGTCTGGCTAAAACCAGAATGTTCACAATTAAGAGCCAACTTCTGACTCTCTGGCACCCAGGGATTCTTCCAGGGCAGAGGACTCCCTCTCTAGTCAAGCTAGCTGGCTCTAAGGTTGCTTTATGGCACCAGAGGGTCTGAGCTAATACATTTATAGATAGAACATGAATTCTCTTCTTTATATTGTGAAGCAAGATTCTACTCATGGATCCGTCCTGCTGGTCAAGGCCAACTGAGTGAGGTCTTGTAGCGGGGTGGTCACTCACTCCTGCCTGGAAGAGCTTAAAACTGCCCAGGAGAGGGCTGTTGCTGGAGTAAGTAGCTCCCAGGCTGATTGGGGGAAGTAGCCTCAGGTGTGGCCATGCCCCAATCAGGGCTCAGCTGGCCCTTATAAGAGGGCAGTGGGCCAGGAGCAGACAGCCTCTCTCTCTAGCCTTTGGAGAGGGAGGGACCAGGCTGCCTGGGGGAGCTGAAGAAGTTACCAAGGGTGGAGCAGTGCTGGGGAAGGGCTGGGGAGTGCAAGCCTAGCGGAGCACAAGGCTGCAGGCCAAAGGAAAGGCCCCCTTGAGGGTACTAGGGCTGCCAAGGGGCAGTTCCGTTATAGGTAGAGGTAGCAGGTCCAAACCCAACCTTGCCTGCGATGAGTGGCTTATACTGCAATCTGCCCCAGGGAGCGGGGGCTAGTTGGTGACTGGCAGAAGCCTACGACTGAGGTGAGATGGGGATAGCGGTAGGGGGTTCCCCAGGAGGGGAGACCCAGAGACTGAGGGATGTACTGCCAGGGCGCAGCACCCCGGCATGCAAGAGGCACTGGGTCCGTGACGGACATGAGTGCCCTGGTGAAAGCGGGGCACCGGCCTGCAGAGGGTGCTCCAATGGCTGGAGAGCTAATTCCCAGAAGGTACCAGCAGGAAGTGCTGCAGGGGTGAGTCCCGCACGCTTACAGGCCTCTATTGCACTGAGTGACTCACCTCTTTTACTACTTGCTCCATGCCCTCTGCTTACCACCCCCCCCCCCCGCTTCCCACCACAAATGTATGCCAAAAGGCTTAGCACAGCCTTTCTATTTGACTCAGGTGCTCCTGGTTTATTTTAATAGAGTTTGGGCTAATACAATCTCTTTGGGAATTCCTGGCAGAAGGGCCTAGCGGCTCAGGAATGTACCCACCAGACAGCTGGCACGCAGTTTGGCAGCTAGTCCCTCGAGACGTGGCTACCCTCTATTTTCAGTGTGCTTGCATGATCAGAACTAGCACAGCTATGCTGCTGCCAGGTGGATTTACACCTCTAGCCTGATGTGCAGCTATTGCCTTAGGGTCTGTCTACACTTCAAACACTGGTTACATAGTATCTACCCCGTTGAGCCTTCATTTAAGATGTTAGGGCCCTTTCTCACCCCTGACACTTCAAGCCCTGATTTCTACGTTCCTTACAACACACACTGGGCTGTTAGCAAACACAAAGCTATTCAGTTGCATTAGGATTCTGCCCTCTAGCCTAGCCCCGGCACCCACCGGAACATTTCAGTACCTCTCCCCTCCATTTGCGGGCTGGTTTCCCCATCTTGAGGCACTAAGGCCCTAACCCTCCCCTATAAGTCTCGCTATGCACCACATAATAGGTGTTCCCCAATCTGTCTCCCTTAGCTGGACAGTACATGAGTATCCTAGAAGGTTTTTAAAACATTGTAAGTCTATTGCCGGAGAGGAGATTAAAGACAATCTAGGCATGGCG